ATTACTCTCCTGCTGAGATATTTCATGTCTTAGGGCCCTGCCGAAATGCAATTGCTGATGGTGAAATTTGCTTGCCTTTTTCTGATGGTGTCTTGTTCCTTGAAGGCAGGGTAGCCCACCTTTACAAAAGGAGACATATATATCATCAAAAAAGAGCCACCTGAGATGAAATCTCAGGTTGTTATGAGCATTGTGGAGGTCATAGTGAGAATCTCATTTGTAAAAGTCAATAGGGAAAAATACATGTATTTATTAAATGGGCACTAATACTAGAGAACATTCAACAAATTTTCTTTCTTATTTTATCTTTAGTTATTTCATACCAAATCAGGGGCATCTGTAGATGGGAGGGTCAAAAAGGTCAAGATGGTGGTCACGACCACATAATGAAGCCCCACCCATTTTTAGTGTGTTGTGGTATGTGTAAAAAGGGGCCTGCAGGGTTCCGATCACGTGGTCATGGCCGTTACTGATGAGGATAATAATAATAATAATAGCAACAACAACTTCATTGGGTGGAGCCTATCATATAGAAAAGAAGGAATGTTTCAAACTTTTAATTTCCTTCTTTACAGGTAAATGTGTATAGGCTGTGGTTTTAAAGAGATAATAGAACATTTGCCATCCAGAGCACAGTAGTGGAAACTGACACTAGACATAAAGGAAATCTGTGGGTTGCTGCAACTGGCCATTTTCCATACCGCTTTTCCTTCCATTTTGCTGTGCACTGAAAGCTATTGTAGCTACTCCAATACCCTCATTATTTGACTAGTAAAAGAACAAAAGAACGACTCCACTGAATCAGGCTGAGATCTGTTCAGTCCAATATCTTGCTTGCTTCAACGGCCAAGCAGAGGTCTTCAGGAACCCAACAGTCAGAATATGAAGTTTTGTTTAACAACAATTTGTTGAATGAGCCTCAGTTGGCAGGCTCACACATTATACTAGGATATAAATCATGGTTTACAAAATATAATGACTGAATTCACACCACATCTGAAAACAAAACCACTTTGGTGCAAGAGGTGAATTTAGTCTGTTTCACGCACGAGTACGTGTGTGCACATGAATGAGTAGAGGGCCACCACCACACACAATGCTTAACTAAGTCAGGTTAACCTACAGCAGATGCTTTTGCACAATGTGCTAAGTTTGTTTAGTGTTAAACTTGGTTAGGTTCTTTTGTGGTTGTCTAAAAACGTAGCCCATTTTGTTAGTTTATGGTTCAATATATTGCATGAATCCAGAAAACGGATTGATTCAGTAATGAGGTTGAACGTATTGTATAAATGATTGTCTGAGTTATTCCTAATGGCCACTCCTTTGTAGGAATTTCTTGTTTATAATGACCAATGTGTCATAGTCAGATTAGGAATGGGGAGACCAAGAGTCGAATTCTTTCTCAGTTGCAAAGCTCATTAGGTTGGTTAGTTAGTTAGTTGGTTAGTTAAACTTCGGCACTTCCTGATTAGAGACTGACTCTGGGTGGCTCACAATATAAAAACAACACAAGTACAACCAGATAAGTACAAAAACAGTATGGGAAATAAACAGAATGGCAACGCAGACAACTGATATCAAAACACATGCAAGAAATAGCAAACATGCTGTCTTTAATAGGTTCCATCTACCCAGCGCCTGGGGGAACAAGCAGGTCTTTAAGGCTTTCTGGAACACCACCAGGATGGGAGCCATCCAGATCTCGGGGGGGGGGGCTCATTCCAGAGGGCAAGCATTAATTGTCACCAGTTATAACTTTTCAGGTTAACTTTCCTTGCAAGACTGTTGTGAGGATGAATGTAGGAAGCCTATCAGCTTCATTGAATGTCTTGGAAGTAAAATAGGATCCAGCAAGATTAATATAATATAATAATCATTATGAGAAGGGGTGGGCCAACTCGAGAAATGTTGCTGCCTAAAGCAAAGTTATTAAGGGTGTTTCCACTTCCTCACCATGTCAAAGTGTATAATACCCAAAGCTGGATTTTTTTGGCACCTGATGCAGAAAAACACGCCAGATCTCTGTGACAGTTTAAAAAATGCAGTTATGATATAGGAAGTCGCTAATTATTTATTTTCATTAAATAGAGTAGTAACTAACCATGTATCATTGTTTCACAACATTAAAAATCTGCTAGTAAGTTAGCCATTGCATGCTGCTGTACAGGCTGGGATAGAGATGGCAGGGGGGTATTTAGGTCGAAATCCAACACATCTGGAAGGCAGATTGCAGATTGGGGAAAATTGGGGGGGATCTGGAAAGACTGAAGCTTCCAAGCCAGAATCATTATCAAAACACGCCGAGATGCCCTCCACATTAAGAATAACAAGTGGGCTGCAAGAAGCCCACATTCCTGTAACAATTGGATAAAACAGCTAAGATTTAAATTCTGGCCGTTATATAAAGTTGGTTGGATTCCTGGATCTTGCAGTAGCTGATTTTCATTATTCACTTCATGTATCTGCAATAAAAACAACTTCTCCGTCGGAATCTTGTCCTCAACTTTTCTGTTGACCCCCAAATACTGGTTGAGTTTCTAGAGCAGTGTTTCTCAACCGTGGCCACTTTAAGATGTCTGGACTTCAATTCCCAGAATTTCCCAGCCAGCATGCTG